CATTGCCATTTTTATATAAAATAAGTATTTTTATTTTTTCATTAAGCTTGTCTATTTCATCTTGAAAAATTACTAACTGCTTTTTCAAATAGTCTATATAATCCTCTTGGCTCTCAGAATCTCGAAGTATTTTTTCCAACCGTTCTTTAATATCAGAAATTTCCTGTTATAATAGATCCAGTTCTTCATCTCAAATCAAAATTTCATTTTCGAGATATTTGATATAACTCTCTTTTAAGTCTAGATCCCATTGTAATTTATAGAATCGATTTTTTATTATTTGCAAACTAGCTTCGAATTTTTTGATTGTTTCACTAGATAGAGACACTATTGTATCTGATGGCATTGTACAAGCCTATAATATATCGACACTTCTGAAAACTTTACCAAATAATAATTTATTAATATAGTAAAATGTATTAAAAATGAACCAACCTAGTATCATAATTAGTACTGATGAGGAATTGGCCCTAGTTTGCCGATTATTATTCTATCAACCAACAGAGTATCATTCCAACTCCCAAAAATTATGAAAAGATCTTAAAGCAGAGGAGTATCAGTTTCCATATAAAAAGGTATGTGAGTGGCTTACAAACCAGAATGAATGTCAAAAATACACTCCATCACCAAAAGATACTCCATGGGTTAGTTATGGAAAAATTTCATGTCCAAACTGCATACATATGTGTGATTTGTTATGCCTCACAAATGATACTGTCAATAAAAAGACATACAAATAGGTATTTACTGTTATAGATATAGCATCCCGTTTTAAATGGGCTGTTCCATTGACATCGAAAAACAGTTCAGAAGTTACCAAAGCATTTAAGAAAATATATGATAATTCGAATGTCCCCCTTACCTGGCCTGATTTATTACAATGTGATAGTGAGCATAAATGGATAGATGAGACTTCAAAAATAATGGAGATACATAATGTTATAATCCGAGTTATAGGTCCATATTCTCATCGAGGTCTTGCAATCATAGACAGATTTTGTAAGACATTAGCAGAGATGCTATACAAAGTTCAATCCGCTGTTGAAACTATATCCAGGAATTCTAAATTAATAAGGGCATAGGTTAAACATTTATTAAATGTTCTTGAATATCTGAATAATTATCCAACGCGACTTATATGAGCGCCAGGATCAAAGAAATGGGGATTAGCACCTATGAAGGCAATTAGATTGGATAGGGTAGAGTCTAGACCATCTACAAAATACAAATGTTCAGTTGGTAAAGATGAAGAAAAATTAAAAAAGAGAGATACCGTTCATTTCTTACTTGCTAATGAAAATAGGAAGGAGGTATAGAAAATCAAAGGTGTGCAACAGATAAAATTTGGAGCCCTTCTTTACATAAAATCCACAAAATTGTGATAATGAAAAACAAACCAATTTTATATTATTTAGATGGGGAATTTGTACCAACACGTGGGTTTGTACATGAAGAATTAATGCTAATTGATCTCGAAAAACTTCAGTATCCGCCTCAGAGTATATTGGAGGAAAACACTCATTTCAGGTCTATTAATTTCATTCATATTATTAATAAAATGGCTAAAGCTATTGCATATGCTGTGAAGCATGACAGAAAATGTCTTGATAAAATTGGCCGAATAAATGATTTTGATGTATATCTCTGGTTCTGTGAAAACGGAAAACATCAGTAGGAATATCCATATCCATTAATAGCTACAAAATTTAAATAGTGTCCACTTTGCTTCCATCACACCGATAAGCATCGCTATAGATATATTTTCGAAGATCTGTTAGGTAAGAAATTTCCATCTTGTAAACCGTCATTTTTAAATGAGATGCAATTAGACAGGTATAATAAAGAGCTAAAATTGGCATACGAATTTCAGGGAGTTCAACACTACCATCGCAATAGTTTATATCACAAAAATCAAGATGATCTAGATAATCAAAGAAAACACGACCAAAAAAAGCAATAAATATGCAAAGAGCGAGATATAGATCTTATTGAAATACCGTATGGTGCTGATTTATTCCCATACATAAAATACAAATTGTAAGAGAAAGGTTATCTACAAAATATAAATATAAATAGTGTGTCAAAATCAGATTATTCGTCAGAATAAAAAAACATAATATATATTTATAACAAAAAGATGTTATATTGTGTATTTGCCATGGATGATATAAAATCTTCGAAAAAATATCAGAGAGATAAAGATGCACCAGCATGGCCTTTTCGTATTGTGATGGCAGGGGCTAGCAATTCAGGTAAGACCAATATGAATTTAAACTTGCTAACAATACCCAAATTTTATTACATGTTTAAGAAGAAAAAGCATTCTAAGATAGAGGAACACAATGTTAAATGTGATGATGTATTTCTTTTCAGACATCATTTAAATGAGCTAAAATATAAAATAGTTCGAGATTTTTATAAATATCTTGCCCAAGACAAATCAAAACCCTATTATGAAGATATTACATTTTCTATACTATCTCCTGATAAAATCCCAGATCCCAAAAAGTTTAATGCTAAAAAAAGTACATTAACGATATTTAAAGATCTTTACTCTGACCCTCCAGCTATACAGAAAAAAATTATTTCATTTTTCACTCAAGGTCATCATGAGAATATTTCCTCAATTAGGGGTGTGGCGACCTAGTGAAGTAGTCAGGTTGTCAACCCCCAAGTAGCAGGTCCAGAGTTCAAATCCCAGTGTCAACGGAAAATTTAAAAATCCTCCCTGTGTTATGGTTAACTGTCTCTCGCAATTGGTTGGGATAAGATACCTGTAACCT